ACTCTACAGACTAATCCCTATCCTTCAAGGATAGAAAATTAACAACCCAGGTGAAGTTAACTAGAAAAACAAAAAAAGAGGAATTATATTTGACAGTGTCCTCTTACAACCCAGTTCATCTTTGTGGACATTAATGTGAGTTACCTCCAGTATCAATGTGCTATTTTTAACGTAGAATATTCAATCTTTGCTCAAAGTAAGACATATGATTAGTGTTTGGAGGAATCGATTTGCTTTAATTTAAAGAAGAGGAGTGTAAATGTTTTAGAAAAAGGAAAAAAAAATTGAGCTATTTATAAAACACAAATGTATGGGCTTCTTAAATATTTCCAAAGACTAGCTCCTTTTTAAATTCTTTCCAAACTACACAATCTCTAACGGGGAGCTGTGCCCCTCTTTTCACTGAGTTATCTGCAATACAGAAGCCCCTGAGGTGTCGTTTGTACCTGTGTATAGGATGGAACTGTTCTGGGTCTGCTATTCTACAGCTACATGTCACATTATCCTAATTGATACTTCTGTTATCTAAAGCCATTAACATTCTATATGAGCGGGGCAATCACCGAGGTGACTGCTCTGCCCCATGTCAGCTGATATATGTATGTGTGCACGTGTGTGTGTGTAAGGTACACTAGTGCATCTAAGAAGTTCAGTTCATTAAATTCTTGTTCTGTAACTCTCAAATTTGTTTCCACTCCCAACACACCTGAGGGATATGAGACACTCCTCTCAATAAAAACAGTTCCTGGAGAGGGGCTTGGAAGGCACACATCATTCACTGGATCCTGCCATTCGAAAAGCCTCCCAGGTAGTTTTAATAATGCAGCCCATACCCCTTGTGGGTGAGGCGACAGCAGAATGAACCCCACCATACACTTGGTGTTGAACATCCCTGGTCTAGTAAAGCATTCGGTATCCTACGGACCTAGGCCACATGGCATCTTCTGTTCTCAGATTGTGTCCAGCTCCAACCCCTTATTTAACTCTCTTCTGAAGTTAAAGAGGCCCATTTTTTTCTTATTTGCTTCTGAGCTTGGATAAGAAGAGAAACAAAGACAGATGACACCACTTCCCTAGATCAGATAAGCGGGGCCACCTGTATTCCAGCAGAGGCGGTGGCTATCCACCAAGTGCAGACTCTGTAGGACCAAATGAACCTCCCTAACTGATGTCGGGATCTGCTTTACAAAGTCAAATCCCATTTCATTCCACAATTAGTGATCCTGCAGGAAATAAAATCCTCCTCTGACTTAAACACAGACATACTAACATGCAGTTAACTGACAACACACAGATCCCTTGCATCAGGTTTTGATTAGGAGAACACTTAGGAATGGAAGGACTGGAGAGGCTGACAGGAGCAAGACTGAAGAAAGTGGTAAATGGGACTGCGTGGAAGGTGGTGTCTCCTTCGCAATTTAGTTCAGAAGATGCTGCAGGTAAAAGAGATGGTCTTCCCAAAGTTATCAAAAAAAAAAAAAAGAGAGAGAGAACTGAGACATTTAGAAATCACTTCCAAATTTGGTCCAAATATTTTCCATACAAATTGAAACACATCTCAACCACATTCTTAAAACCCCAATTTATGTGTATTGTTGAGCAGGACAGTGAGTAAGTTCATGAATTAAGACCTTGTTTGTATTCCTTCTGATCAAGGTTCATTGCATGTTTTCAGTGGAGATGCTCTATCTTCTTCAACTGCATTATCCAGGAATAAGTAGCAATACATTAATTTCTGGGCATATTTTCAGATTCTGTGAGTCTTTTGCTACCCTGCAAGGCCCCAAGCTTGAAAAAAACTGTCATAAAACATATTTTTACTCAAGCCATGGCCTTTGGAAAATTATTATTTAAGAAAAGCATTATTTTTTAAAAAGGAACTATATGCCAATCTCCAATGCATTAACTACTAATCATTCCTCTGATAACTATTCTAATATTTCATGTCCATCCTAGCATACATGTATAAACAGAAGTCATCCATACATAAAGTGGACAACTTTCTATCCCAATTGTTTCATAATTATTACAAATGGAGTGCTAGCTGAAAGTTGCATAAAAACCAAAGTAAATTAAAGTAGCATAATAATGATAAGTTGCTATTACCTAATTCATATTCTATGGTTCCAGAATCACCTGTAAGATGGAGTAGGCACCTACATTTTCTCACTGATGGACTTTTGAATGACAGACAATTTTCAAGTCCAATAACTTGGTTAATAACAGGATTTGCTTCTAGATGTTAAATGCTCACTCTGGGCCAGTGAACTAGCATGTTAGTCATGACAAGTACCATAACAGCACCCCCTCCTGGCGATAAATGACCCATTCCCTGCACTTCAGTCAACGGCGGCAAGAGCTGCTGCCCTTTCGTGTGCTGGTCAGTGTCTCAAGAGATGGCCTGGGGCACTGGACGCTGCCCAGAGGGTCAGTAGAACTCTCTTACCCAGTCAGATGGGGTCCCTCCAGAATAACCCAAGAAATTAAGAGAATTAACCAGTCGGTGAGGAAAGAACAGAGAAGAGAGAAGCCAGATCCCCCCTGCATAAAAACTAAACCCCTGTTGCCTTCAAGTGGCCTAGAGTTTCCTTCAATGGCCCAAAAAACCAAAGGACATGACCAGGTCCTGATGGAAGCCTTCACCTGCATTTTCTTATTAAATAAACCCAACAACCTAATACAATCTTATTATTCCCATTTTGCAGATAAGTTGATTCTATGGCAAAAAAAAAAAAAAAAAATGCAAACAAGCTTGGAAAACCTCATATGAGCACCTTATCTACCACACTCCTCAAATCCTTGCCCACTTTTGGCTGGGCACCAGACTACAGGAGGCAGCCAAGATTCACAGGAATTACAATGGGATTGGCGGGAACCAGAACTGGTTTATAAAGGGAGGGAAACCAAAAGGAGAAAATTCTTATGAACGTTTTCCTCTCCTCTAAAAGTGGTGTTTTTGAACCACAGTTGCTAAGTTAAAAATAGAAAAGAGATGCCTTGGAGCAGGTGAGGAGGGAGTTCAAATCAGAGAGAAGAGTTACAGAAATGTCTGAGCTGGACCTCACCCCAGAGCATAAAATGCCACATGGCACAGAACTGGGGTGGCTGGGAGGAATCCAAGATGTGGGAGGAAACCTGGAACAGTCTGGCTCCACGTCTTCCCTCTAAGCAAGGAGTCTGCTAACCCAAGAGAAATGGTTAACAACTGCCTAGTTTCCCTTGAAAGTTTCCAGAGATGGAGAACCAGGGCAACTCTGGCTACATGTTTTAATTGTGTCCTTTTCACTGCCAAGAGGTGCTTCTTAATGTCCTGCTCAAATGTCTCCAGCACACCCTGAAGCTTGTGTGTGCCTCTTCAGGACTCCTTAGACACAGAGAGCTTCTGTTTAGCATCCTCCTTATTTGAGAAAATTTCATCAATCTGAAAATAGCCATTAAGTTGCCTCACAGCATTTTCTCTTCCAAACTAGGGAAATCCACACAGAGGCTGCACAGCCACTCAAGGGGATGTTACAAAGAGGATTCCAGCACCATGAGTGGGTCAGACTAGATGTGCCCCGAAGATATCTGCCAAGCCAGAAATCCTTTGATTCAATATCTTTCATCTTTGGTGTGACATTTCCCATCACTTTGTTCATATTTGTCATAATATCTGTCATCTGTCCGACTTCTCCATATTCTTTTAATATGTTTAAATCTAATGTGTATAAGAACCACTTTTCACAACATAAAACAAAGGCTCATTAATTCAGATTAAGTTGAAAAATTCATGTCCCACTGAGTAAGAAACCAGAGTGAGAAGTATTTTCAATTAAACAAATTATGTCTATTACAGAAGACTACATACTGGTTTTTAATAAATGAGAAAGTCGCCGGGCGCGGTGGCTCAAGCCTGTAATCCCAGCACTTTGGGAGGCCGAGGCGGGTGGATCACGAGGTCAAGAGATCGAGACCATCCTGGTCAACACGATGAAACCCCGTCTCTATTAAAAATACAAAAAATTAGCTGGGCATGGTGGCGCGTGCCTGTAATCCCAGCTACTCAGGAGGCTGAGGCAGAAGAATTGCCTGAACCCAGGAGGCGGAGGTTGCGGCGAGCCGAGATCGCGCCATTGCACTCCAGCCTGGGTAACAAGAGCGAAACTCCGTCCCAAAAAACAAAACAAAAAAAAAAAGAAAAAAAAAATAAATAAATAAATGAGAAAGTCAATGAAAATGGTGAGTTAACAATAACCTTATTTTTATGGCACTTTATACTTTTCAAAGTGTTTTTACATGTATTATTCCATATTTCCAATTTTATTCAATATATCAATGCAACATATGGATAATAGATCACCAAACCTAAATCAAAAAGTCTTGATTTATCCTGCTAAATTTGAACTTTTAATGCAATAAGAATTATATATAATTATTCTAAGTCTGTATCAGAGCAGTCTGAATTAATAAGGTTCTGCTCTATTGTAGTTATAACAAGTCTGACAATTTTATGGTCATCTTATCTCCCAGAATGTCACTCCCATCTACACATTAGTAATAAATACTGTTTCTTCGTGAATGAACTTTTGTCACAACACAGCATCCCACCTTAAAGAAGTTTCACAAAGTAAATTAAATAGCTCAAATACCATAGAAATGTTTTCTATGATAAATGTGCTAAGAGTTTATTATTCTCTTTAAAAATGCTTGCTTTGATTTAAAATGAGCCTAATAAGGAGGTTGTCCCAAGATGACAAGGACCCAGTATATTACAGAACTTTTCACCTTTCTCTTTGGTCAGAAAAAAAAAAAAAAACAGAGTCAAAATTAATCCAGTTAATTGTAAGTAATGGAACTAAACCAATACATGCAGAAACTTAGACACAGAATGCCCCATTTGAGGAACCCGAAAGGGTCTATGAGCACCTTCGCCATCTTCACTTTCTTCCCAAACCTGCAGTTGGAGTCATAGCATTTCACTGTCCTTTCACAACGGTCAGAAAGACAATGCCTTTACCTACCTTAAAAAGTCGTAAAATGTTAGCAACCATGATGGACACGGAACTTGCTGCAGCACCTATGACACCAGAAATCTTGTCGGGCTTGGTGAAAATGGGTGGATCTCCATTAGCACACTTCACATCCGAAGCATCTTTCTCTATTAATGCCTGCACGAAAGTTAGAGACTGCTCCAAAGCATAGGTGTCCCTGGAGCAGGTGTCGAGGATGCGGACACCCAGAGTGATGTTGGAAAGGAGATCAGGGTCCTTGTTAATCTGGTCAATTGCATAAAGCATGGCCTCCAGTCTGTGAATCCCCTTTTCCTTCTTCAGCTCCCCACAAGGCACCCCTCTCTCTCCCTTTGCATGGACAGGGAAGAGACCCCCCAAAATAATGTCCCCATCCACCCGTATGGAATGGGCATACTCTTGGCTGTGAGTTCTTTGCATCATTGTGAGGATCCAGTAGAACTTGGCGGTCAAGAGGAAGAAACAAGGGCAAGAGGCAGATCGCTTTCCCTCGCATACCATTTTCTCCACAGGTGATATTGCAATCCAAGACCCAAAGTTTATTCTTGCCACAGAAGAAGGGGGACCACCTGAGGCTGCGCCTTCTGAAGGCTACCATCAGGGCCCATGGGGAAAAGGCTCTGTGGGCATCAGCAAGTTTTCTTGATTTGAACGTCACAGTGAATTCCCATCAGACCCCTAAGGTTCAATTTTATTTCCTTATAAGATCAACTTGCCTGGAATGGTGCAAAAATTAGAACGTCTGAGGTTCTGATGTTGGGATGAGGTCAACAATTCATGTCCTTGAAATCAGCCTTGTAGCAAAATTATTCCTGGGAAGAGGGGGAAAAAAGTGGGTTCAGTTCAGTGAGTCTAGATGTTTCACATTTTTCAGCCCTGTTTATGCCAGCCTCTTTAAAAAAAAAAAAAAAAATCCCCTATTCAGTAAGAAACTAATTCTTTTTGTCCCCCTGTGATTCTGAACACCTGGCTGCACTGCATCTAAACAGGGAGATTGATGACACTTTTGGAGCAAGGGAAACAGAACAGTCAGTATCAGAAACTAGGTTGATTCTCCCAAACCAGAAAGCATTTTTATTTATCATTTTATTTCAATAAACCTTATTTCCATGAAGGTAAAAATCCTGCAATGGGTGGCACCATTTCTTTTCAAATCTGTTTTTATTTTTTTGCAGCTATCTGAATTTAGCATTCAAATTTTGTCAACAAAATCATAATAAAGTGTTATTTTCTGTGATGTATTCAACAAGCCAGTCATCTGTTAATGACTTTTTTTCTTGGTGCCTCAAATTACTCAGTAGGAAAATGTGATTATTCAATTACAAAAAAGCGAAGGAGATAAAGAAACCCACCCAAAGAGCTAAAAAATGTGTAAGTTTTGTAGCTTGTGAAAAATATTAACAGAGAAAGTCAGCTATTTCATATAAATTATCTTATTTTTCTCTGGTAAGAAAACAAAGCTTTGAAAATGAAACACCCAGGGAAGGTGACCTGTGAAGATTTTCCTATTACCATTGTCAGGGTTTCCAATTAATTTGTCAGGGTGGGAGCAATGGGTACACTAACAGCTCTGAGTGAAACATGCCTTGATCCCAGAATCACTAGGAGTAAATCAGAGTTGGTGATCAATTGAAGAGCTGCTTAATTTTGTCTGACTCGGTGGGGAAAACAGCTATCTCATCAAGACTAGAAATAACTTGGGGTGAAAAAATCTACAGGCAAATCTACAGAAAAAGTTTTTTTCCTACAGCCTTCCCCCTAAATTACATAAGATTTTTTTCAAACAACTTTTGTTTGTTTATTATTATTATTATTATTATTATTACTGTACTTAGGTTCTGGGGTACATGTGCAGATCATGCAGGATTGTTGCATAGGTACATATATGGCAATGTGGTTTGCTGCCTCCAACCCCTCATCACCTACATCTGGCATTTCTCCACATGTTATCCCTCCCCAACCTCCCCACCGCCCCATCCCTCCCTTGCCCCCGCCAATGGACCCCAGTGTGTGATGCTCCCCTCCCTGTGTCCATGTGTTCTCATTGTTCAACACCCACCTATGAGTGAGAACAATTATTATTGTCAAACGACTTTTGAAGAGATGTGACTGAAAATGAGAACTGACTTAACACAGGGAATCTGAGATTTGTAATGCACATCTCATTAAGAGAATAAACAGCACCAATTTACTTTGGCAGGATGGTTAATCTAATGCTCATTTCTAACCTATTTATATATGAGTTTGAAATCTGAAATTTGGACAGTTCTCCTGTACCCTAGCCAACCAACATCTGCTTGTATTTTCCATTCACTTGTTCAAGTTCCAGTTCATAAAATTTTCTTTTCATCCTTCTTGTCCCAAAAGGAAAGATGGTGCTTCCCTGGGGGATAACTGAACATATGCCCAAATGTCTTCAAAGAAAGCTGCACTTTTTGCATTTTCAAATTGGAAAAGAGGGGCTCATAGCAACCCACTGCCCCATATTTCTGAGCAACCACCTGGCAGCCTGGCCAGCCAATGGCCCACTCAGCTGAAACAGTTCTGTGCAGCCTAAGACAAGTATTCCCTGCCTCCCGGCATACATTAAGCCTTAGATTTCCACTGTGCTTCCCCCAAAATACTCAGTCCTTTCTGATTGTTCTCACCACTTAACTGTTAGTCCCTCACACTCCATTCTCCAGCAGCTGCTTTTCCCTCAGAAAATCTGTGATTCAATAACAGCCTGACCTCAGGCATTCCACAAAAGGAAACACTCAGAAAGTCAACCTGACTTTCTGGATGAAACCCTTTAAGTGATAGGCCATAAATTACACCAGCCACCCATTAAGAGAAGTTAAGATTGTGTTTCACAGTTTCACAAGGAAAACCAGTCACATGATAGTAAAACCTCATTAACTCCGATCACTAGTTGAGAATTTGAGACCAAGTCCACATGGCTGGGCTGATCCTCGTTCTGACAGAGCCCAGACTAAATGGATAAATAAGGTGAAGGAGAAATGTGTGTTTAGGGGCAGTGGATAGGGCCTGTTGTTCTCCAAAAGCCCGCCTTTCCTCTTTATACCAAGCCATCTCCCAAGTACTTACACCTAAGAGAATAAATGGCTTTCAATTATAGACGACATACGAACAGCCCATCTGTTCATCACAATGAATCCTTACCTATCCATGTGACATTAACCTAGTTCCACTTGCTATATGGTCCAGAAAGTAATAAAATTGAGTCACTTTAAAAATTATTGGTGTTTGCAATATTGTTTACTCTCTTTGGTATCTTATAGCTTTGTTTAGAGCTTTAATATTTAAAAAAAAAAAAAAAAGGTTGGGGGATGAATAGCAATGAGGCAGGAATCAGTTTTGTTTAGTGGTCGAGTGCACTGAAATGGAAAACTTGAGGTTCAGTTTTGGTTTCATTTTAGTTTCACTTATCAGACAGCTCACATAAATTTTTGCTGGAGTTTCCATCTCTGGAACATAGAATTAATTGCATGTAAGCTTGCTTTTTTTGTCTCTAAAGGGGTCGGTAGAACCTGCCACAGAGCATGCATAGAAAGCACAGTACCTGGCTCAGTAAACAGGAATTATTGTTGCTAACTTAGTCTGTAATTCATTTTGTACTAGAGCAGAGCGACTCTTTCTGTACTTGCCCAGTTGGTGAGCTTTTGCTGAATTTCATTTGTCACTTTAAAAAATAAAAGCAGAGCTACTTATAAAATATTTAAATCTTGCAGTTATTTTAAAATCTGATACACTGTCATAAAAATCACAGACTCCATTGCCAGAAGGTTTAGTTTCCCATTTTTAAAAATCTAAGGAAAAATACATTTGAAAGTTTGTGAGTAACTATATCAATTAGGTTTCGTTGTATAATCTTAAATTACTTATCTTGCTCTTATACAATTCTTGTGAGCTTTAATCCAAACTTATCCTAGTTTGGGTCAATGAGTTTTAAAGAAATCATAATCTTTCAGAGTTATATATGCAAACTTTGTGTGCTGTGCTTGACTTAAAGTATAAACAGCTCTTTTCTCAAACTGACCTTCCTCTGGGATGTGATGGACTTTTTCAAGGAGGTGTGAGGTCTGGACTCCTGAAACCAATCTCAGATGGGGACAAATCGTCTCAGCACTGTCTCGGCCCACAGGGAGGGGCCATGCAACCTTAAGGGGAGGCTTAACTATGAACCCTCACAGCCCTTCCTGTGCATACCCCTGCCAACCCACCCTCACTTACAGGGCATATCATACACCATTGACCCCTCTATGGGCAATCCCCTGGCCTAAGGCTCCTGGAAGCAGTCACTCTGGCTGGAACCTGAGCCTGTGGCTCCCTAAATGTGCTCTGTTTCCTAAAAGGCCAGAAGGACACCTCCTCACTGGCCAGAGCCCTGAATTCTTCTCTGTACCAGTGTCAAGTACCTAACATAGCATCTCCATAAATTTTCATTTACGGAATTAGTTCTTGTATAAATGAGAAAAGACGGCTCAAAGGATTGAATGTGGCCCCAAACCCTGAGCTGGTGAGCTGTTGAGCGGCAGTGCCACCAAAGTCGTCTGTCCCAAAAGATGGGTCCTGTCCTTGTGGAAAGCCCCCAGTACTGCCTGCAGGGACTATCTGTGGCAGCACAAGAGAAGGGAAGGGGCCTGCCCCTCCACTGCAATCTTTCAGAAAGGTGTGCGTCTTTGATGCTTAAGCTCTGGAAGAACAATAAAATGCTATTTAGGAAGGGACAATCTGGGGGCATTTCCAGGGAGGTGATTTCTGAATCTCTCAAAGGGCTGAGAAGATCCTCTGTGGTTTGTCCAAATACTTCTGCCCCTAATTAGGTCTCCTGGCCAGGTGGATGCCAATGGGAACACACCCACCAACACATGTAGAGTCTCTCAGGGTCTGCCATCACATCTTCCTTGGGCATTTAGCAGGTATGATTAACATACAACAGGGTAAAATCCTTGCTGAGGAATACCACTGGCCAAGATTTGTCTTTTTTTCTCATAAAAAGGCCAAAGCAACATTCCTATGCTGCATTCCATTCAGCTCTTTAACAAAAAGGTTAGACTGAATATTATCATCAATTTATATGACTGCCCACACTTGCAGCACTTTTGGTTGTTTTTGAAAATGCATCATATTTCTGTGTCATCTCCCATGCTGCAATATGTGTGCATGTCTGTGGATTCTTGGTTTTTTGGTGGGGCAGAGTGAGGATGGGGCAGACAGAGCTCTCCCCTGGCAACAGAGGCCTGGAATCAGATCTTTGACAGTCACTGGCTGGTGACACTGAACATGTCCCCTCACCTCTATGTGCTTCCATTTCCTCACCTGTGAAATGAGTGAGATGGGCCACATGATCTCTAAGGTGTCTTCCTGCTTCCTAGTCTGAGATTCTATTATTTAATAATAAGGGAATATGAGATTATGCTCAAACATCGGAGCAAGGCTTTGCCAACTGAATACAATAACTGGTTTTGTTTGCAAGTTTAGTGACTTCTTTTCGTCAGGGAGAGGATTGTGAAAGCTCTTCTACACAAGCCAGCCTCATATTAAAAAAATCTGATACAGGAGAAGCTCGACTTACTAAACAGATAAATTAGAAAGTGATTATTTGCATTACAAAAGAATTCACCCCAGGTTTCCTTTAAATAGCTAAATCCCTGGCATTTAAAAAAAATCTGATTTAGTAGAATTCAATTTGTCCCCTCATTTTTCCAATAACACAGCTATTACACAAAGAGACCATATTTAAAGTAATGAGAAGCTACTTTTTATAATATGTATCAGATAAGAAGAGAGAAAGCAGGTGACACCAACACTTACTGAATGCCTGCAGCGTCTAGAGGTGCAGACACATTATTTCATTTCCCTCTAAAATACAACTATAAGGTTGATATCACAGCCTTCATTCAGGATCAAAGGAACCTGAAAACAGAAACATTATGTGACTGTGTCTAAAGTCTCAGATCAGGATTCAAATGCAGGACCGCCATTACGTTCTTTCCCTTACTCCAAGCCCCTGGAGACAGGAGGCCATGCTGGATATAAAACTAACCCTGATTTGATCATATGGACCATGAGTGAGATGTTCTAGAGTCCTAGGAGACACTGATTCTAGTCTTACTTCCCCCAATACTCACTGTGTAACCCTAGGAAAGTCACTTCACCAGATCTCAGTTTCCTTGTTTCTAAAATGGGGAGTGATTTTCCCCCCACCTCCTAGTTTGTGTAATCAAACAATATAATGTGTATCAAAGTACTTTATAAACTTCGAAGTGCTGTTAAGAAGGCACAGGGATACTATTAGTTTAACAATCAATCCTAGAACTAAAATATGTTAGTGGTGTATTGTACTTAGAAAATCTATGAAAACCACTTCCTCAACACACTTAGGGCCAGTCAGACCTTAAGAAGGCTCACAGGTTCAAAAAAATGAACCCTGGCAAGCCTATATGAAGAGCTTGAAGGAAAACTGGAAAGGACGCAAGAAGTCAATGGAAGTACCATGTCTGACCTGGAGAACTAAAGCTCATGGACACTGAGCATCTAAAGGGCTATTCTGAAGAAAGTGGTGGCAAGATAATCTCCTGTTGTGAAAACAGGACAACCTGAAACCTTCCTAAGTATAGGCAGAATATGCTGCTTCTACCGCTTGGTCATGACCCCTGGAAAAGTCAGCCAATAAATAGCCTGCGGTTTTCTAGCTTTAGACATAATCCTGCCTGGAAAAGTATGAAATTGGCAACACATGTGTCCAACGATCGATCTCCACATACTCCTCTGGGGCCTCTCCTCGATCTTCCCACTTCTGCTCACCTCCTGCTTTGCCCTGGCCTCCGCAGAGCTAGGTGTCTTCCTTCCCTCAGTGCCTTTGTTCTTTCATTACCTTGGCCCTCCCCAGGGAGTGAATGGATTCATTAGTAGGTATCAAAGCCTTAAGATGCATTACTGTCATCCCCAAATGGAATATCTGCATTCTCGAAATGATTCCTAGGAGAGCCATAATTCCTTTACAAAAGAAATATCACCATTAATAATGGTTAAGGCTGGCGATGCAACAAGCCAGAGCATGGAGCTAGGAGTCAGGATCCTCTCAATGGCACCTCTCAAATCATTCCAACAGCAAAGCCCACCATTCAAAGAGGGTGCCCTGGGACGGGTCCCTCCCAATGAGTGGGTGAGTTTGCCACAATTTATCAAAGTACCAAGTAGAAATGAAAAATCAAAGAAAAAACCATCTTAACTGTTCTTATGATAATGTAAATACTCCTCACCAAAATAAATAAATAAATAAATAAAAGAAAAAAATAAGACAGAGAGAAAGCCCAAATTGAAATTCCAATTCCTAGCAGAAAAAAAAAAAAAAAAAAAAAAAACCCTGTCTTGAAATGGAAACAATAAGATCCAGCCAACTCTCTGCTCATAGCCTCTCCTGGAACAACATGAAGTGACCATCCCTAGTGAATGAACCACATGTATGAGTCTGGGGTTGCCCAGAGTCTATCAAGAAAACAGCAAGTTTCCTGAAACTCCACAAGCCAGCCAACTTGCCAGGCATAGAGATGGGGCCAGGTCTTTGCTGTGAGTCCAGGACAAGATAAATTCAAGCAGCATCCTCTAAGACACTGGGACAGAGCAACTCCACTCCCCCAACTAAAGCAAGGTCATCTTCATGATGGGCATTCTAACTACCTGAGGAAGGTGGTGGGAAGGAAGCTTGGAAGGAAAAAACATGTGTGTAGTGTGCTATGTGTCAGCCCTCAAGAAAATGGAACACAAAGGTTGCCACACAATTGCCAATGTGAATGTCAGCGGGTTATTTGCTGCATAAATACCAATTAAACAAGCCTCGCAGCAGCTTCAACCTGCTCAGCCAACTTTGAAAAGAGCATATCTCTCCAGACCTCTAACTTTCTCCTGCACTCATTGGAGCTCAGCTCTTCCTTTACTCTATTCCTTTTGGATGTAGATGATCTTAGAATTATTCAAGCAGCTATAACTTTCCAAGGATGCATAATAGGGCAGAACTAGCTAGCACAATCCAAACAGAACAAATTGAGCCTACATAACAGTATAGAGAACCATGTTCTCAGCATCTTCTTCTTTCTTCCGGGTCAATTGTCTCCTACAAAGCCTCCTGTCATCTATTTTTCCCCACATTCTTTATTCTAAAGCAAGAATTCCCTGTCTTAGACACAGTACAACCTGTAGTTGACTCTAAAATGGGAAATCACATTTTTAAAAATCTTGGTTCGTTTTCCCTGATGGAGAAAGCTTTTCTTTTCCAAATTATCAAGCCACATATATTCAAGAACCAGAAAATGAATTGCACACAGCTGATTTCTGCCTCCTACAGAGATCTTTCACGTATTGTTCACAAGCAAGTGACCAAGGTAAACTAAAGTGGTTTCTGTAGCCATTTGCAATTATTGACAAACAATTTCAGAACGGAAAATGGAAATTACAGGCAAGTGCAATAAGCTGTTTATCCAAGATCTACCTGCTGGTGGCTCTTTTTCTCTATTTTTCTTTCAGGCAAAATACAAGCTATCATAGGAATGCATTTCTCCCGTTCATGATTTTTCTTGGGCAAGTATCTCCACCGCCAGCCTTGTTTTCCAGTCTGTCCGTTGGCAGGATTTGTATTCAATCGCGGTAGTAACCCAGACCCTAGTACATTCTTGGGTGTTCCAGAGACTCCCGCACCTTCAGGTTTGTGGGAAAGGATCATCCCCCAAACCGCAAAGAAGGCATTCCCTCCCGGAGAGGGACTGCTTAGAGGACTTAAAGGTATGGGTTAATGCAACCCGAGAGGGGGTCTGTTTTCACTCCCGCTATCCTGGGTGCGCAGACATCCCAGGCTTCACAATCTGGGCTACAGGGGAAGTAATTCCCCAAGGAACCGCGGGGGTGCCGTTTGCGCAACTGGGTGACTGGCGTGTCCCTCGCATTTCATTTGCACCAAAGGAGCGCGTGTCAGACAGAGGGAATTTTTTGTTTTTTTGTTTGTTTGTTTTTTGGGGGTTTTTTTTTTTGGTGATTCTGTTATCTTTTCACCAACTGTAGGAAGCTCAAGGAATCTCCGAGCTTTCTGGATGGGCGGATGGGCTCGCTCTTGGAGTGGCTGAGCGGTCAATCTCTACCTCTCTGTCTCTAGCTCTACCGCAACAGCGGCCACTCAGCCCGCCGGGGTCCCCTGTTCCCTGCCGCACGTTCCTTTTTCTTCTCAGTTCTTTAGGCTGTTGAAGCCGCGCTCTGGGTAGATAAGAGACTAGGGCCGAGGGGGAAGCGCCAGCTGATCTCGCCTTTCCCGCGCCCCGGGGCATTCCGGCGCCGCCCCGGTGCCCCAGCGCGCTGGGGATGCAGCCTCCGCCCCCGCCGCACCTGGCTGCCCAAGTGCCCACAACCCGTGCAGAGCCGCCCGAAACTGGGGCCGCGACGGCCGCGACAGCTACCAAGGAGCTGTCGGGGCGCGTTTGCTTCGCTTTTAAACAAGATCCCCGAGATCTTTTCTCAATCCCCCAACCCCCAACGGGACACAGAACTCCGGCGTTTCCCGAAAGCCACAAAAGGGGGGCACGGAAATCCCAAGCTCGCCGGGCTAACTCGGAGAACGCAAACTCGAGGCAGAGCGAGCGCCGTGTGGGGATGCTCTGTCGAGGACCCGAAGCGCCCGGATTCCCCAGCGACCCCCATCCTCCCGAGATCCTGGTTAGACATCCATCCAGCCCACGCTCAGAAGGCGGGGGTTACCCCGACTCATCCCGGAAACCGCTAACTTCGGAAATCCCTCCCGTTAGGTTCGCGCAACTAAGATACCTCGTCATCTCGGCTGGGCAAGTCCGAATTCCGCCAGGGCAGGTCCGGGAGGTCACCCGGGGCAGGCGATCCGAGGCAGAGCTCTTTAAAATCCTGCCGCCGCACGCCCCGTCAGAGCGCCGAGCGCGCCTGCTCCCTTCCCGTCGCCCTTCAGCCTCCCATTCGCCGACTAAACTTTTGGGGGATCACATCTCCAAGCCTTGGGAGTTCCGGGTGAAGCCTCCCTCTTTTCTGCACCTCTTTACTGTAATGTAATCACGGGCGGACAAGAGGGGTGGCTGCCTTGTTCTTTGCAACGTAAAATCAACAGACACCCAATCAAGCTCCAATGCCCGGCCAGCCCCTCGCCCCCTGGTGCCCACTCTCCCTCTCCCCCCATTCTCGTCACCTCCGCCCACCAGTTCTCTCACAGACTCCGTGCAGGGCCATCGACTTGTGCTCAGGAAAAGCAAATCACTAGAGTGATGTGAGAAGCAACGGTGCACCTGGCTGTCCGCTGAACAGTTTTAGGGAAGAAAACGGAAAGGGGAATAAAACAGGGGGATTCTCCTTTTCCAACAAGCAGGGCGTTTCGGGGGAGTTTGGGGGCGAGGGGCTTCTTGTCCGGTGGTTCGGCATTTGCTTTCCTCAGATCCGCTCTCTGCTTACAGGCGGCGAGTCTTACCCTGCTCCCCGCAGAGGGCGCGGTGAGGAAGCCCGCCGGCGGCCCGCAGCTCCATGTCAGCGCCTCCGCCGCCGCCGCCGTCGCCGCGCGAGGCGAGCACCGTGGCAGCACTTGTGGCTGGTCTCGGGGATGAGGGGGCTGAGCTGGCCAAGCCGGCGCCAAGTCTCTTCCATGTGAATAACAAATACTCCCAACGGCGGTCGCGATTGGTCTGCGCCCGGCGCCTCCAGATCCTCCGCCCGCGGCCATTCACCCGGCGCGGCGCTGGGAGCCGCGGCCGGGATCGCGCCTGGGATCGCCAATCCCTTCGCGCCAACCAGTCACCTCGGGAAGCGGGAGGAGGAACCCCCGAGGGGCGGGAGCCTCTGGATTTTGGTGTCACCCAGCGGCCCTGGTGCAAGCAGGGAGGGGGGACCCTCGGCCCGCGGATCCCCCTCCGCGCTTCAGTCCGAAGCGACGAGGAGACCAGAAATGTCAATAGTTCTGATTTTTAAAAATCACCCCCATCTTCCCCCCACCCCAAGACAGCAGGGAGGACCCAACGGCAGTGTAGGATGGTGGGAGGCGGGGAAGAAGCGGGAGCGGTAGAATGAGGAACATGGCTGTGGAGGAGCCCAGCGACTCCGGCTGCCTGGCGAGCCCGGGACCGGCGCGAGGAGGCGCGACACCCGCCCGAGCACGGCGGGCCGTACCTGGGAGCCCGGGTCCCCTGTGAACACAGATCCAGAAAGCGTCACCGAGAATAACACATGGTAGATGACAAGTGTCGCGCCACATGCTGCTTTCTTGTCGGAGACGCTTAAAGTAGAGCCCGCAAGCTACGCGGTTCCCCTGCAAAGTTTGCCTCGCGCCGCGCGGCGGTTCCGCCATTTGTCCCGCCCAGCGGCTCAGGAGATTGTCTCCCCGCTTCCTGCCCCCGAGGGCCTGGGGAACGCGTGCTACAGGGCCCCCAGAGCTCGAGGTACCACACAGCGCGGTCCCTCTGCGGGCACTGAGAAAGAGGGGGCGTGGGTGGCTGCCGGGACGGTCATTTCATTGAGATGATTCAAGGAGCCGCAGACGCGGGGCAGGAAACTCCGGGGGAACCGCGCTCGGGTTCTGCAGGGAAACCTCGGGATTCCCTCCGCATGCCGCCTGTGGAAACCTGCCGGGCTCGACGTACACAGCCCAGTGCTCTCCCCGCTAGTTACTACCCAAGCCCCCCGACTCCGCACCCTCCGGAATAAGAGAACCAGGCCCCTCGCCGCCCAGGGCCCGGGAAGCTGCCCCGGCCGGGCCTTGTGTTGGTGAGAAAGTTCCATCTAGAGGCGGCCGCGCGCAACTGCAGGCGGCGCCACAGGCCCGGGCGAGCCAGGGAGAGCGGGGCGCCTGGGGGAGAGCGGGCAACCCAGGAGATAAGAGGATGGAGAAGGACAGGAGAGACCCCGAAAAGGGAGGCTCTAGTCCTCCGTTCAGCATGTCTGCAATGAATTTTATCTTCCTAAGTAACATGAACTTAAAAGCATCATGTCAGGAATCTTGCATTAATTCCTGTGTGTGTGTGTGTGTGTGTGTGTATATATATAAATTATTCTGCTCAGGTTATTTTGTCACATCAACTCTGTGAGATGATCAAAATCATTAAGCCCACTCTACAGATGAAGGAAGAAACCGAGGCTTAGAGACACGACTGGAAAGTATTAAAGCCAGAAATCACAGCTGCCTGGCTTCAAAACCCCATAGCACTTCCTCCCTGGTTGTGTTGGCTTTTCCCAAGGCTGGATTTAATGTGCACACTTTCGATTGAGGAGATAGCTGTCTCTCTCCTAATTTCAAAACATGACCCCTGCCCTTTATCACTTAGAAAAATCTACAGGTTTCAGCCCAAGGCACCTCTTCACCTTTCGTTCCCTTCCCTCTCCCATCTCCCCATGAGAGGTTCTTTGATTGTAGAATCATTATTTTATGGCCACAACAACAAAAGAGGGAGAGAGGTGGATTTGGAGAGAGAAAATGAGCTGGGTTCTCTAGCTGAAAACCTTTCTGTATAGGGAACCTCAATTCCCTGTGAATGTCTGGTGCAGCCCTGAAGAGGGTGATCAGTGGCCAGTGCCACTTGGGACAAGGAAGGTGGGAAGAAAGAAAAGCTCCTAATTTATGCAGAGCTGGGACTGGGTGGGCTTCTTGGTTGCATGTCTGCGTGTAAGAAGCTTTAACGATTTTCTTTTCTTGGGGACTGGAAGAGCTTCTTCCTCCCGCATAAGTGTAAAGTAAGTGCAGCAGCCCGATAAGTATACCAGGAAGCCCACTCCACCCCAAACTCCAGACCCAAGACTCCGGTCTGAGAAATGTTATTGCAGATAATGTAGAAGTATGAAGAAGTCCCTGTTAGACCCTTTGCTACGTGTGTATTAATACATTTAAAGGGAAAAGAGACACGACAGAGGGGAAAGGCAGAGGAGGTCCTCAAAAATAAGGTCTCTACAGCTGCTGACCACACATGGTCTTCAGGGGCGGCTAGAGGCCAACTCGTAGGGTGGTTACCTGGCATGAGCCAAGAGGGCAGCAACCTGGTGCTCTAGTGGGCCCACTTTAATCATAAGGACAATAAGACTGTCTTTGGAGGCCTGACAAAGCTCAGTGAGCTGCTTGGGGAAGAAATGCCTAATGAGCTGCTTTTCTCCTTTCTCTATTGATCATTACCTGCAGAGAACTGATGTCTTACAGGCACATCGCTGCCCTTTCTGGTGCAGCCTTCCGCAAGAAAATTAGACTTAATCTCTCCTAAGGAAAGTGCAAGTCTGATGCTTCATTTTGCATCATCTTTAACTCTTGATACTCAAAATAGAGCCATCAGTCAAATCCTACATGGAATCTGGTCAATAAGGAATAGAGGCCATCTATCTATTCTTCAGTGTTTCGAATGGCTTTATGTAGTAGCCCCTGAGCAAGTGACATAGGCTCATGTACAAGTTATCATTCGCCCAGACTGAGAGCAACATTGGGACACAGGAAGAAAGACTGTCTCCAGGAGGGACTGGTCCGTATCAGTAACAGTCACAGGAAAAAGTCATCAGCTGTTACAGCCTCTATTCCTGAGACCCAAACACCATGACGCTGCTTGCTCTTTGCTGCAGTCTGAGTGAGGGGAGAGCGTCTGAAACCCAGGCCGTCATCCACCTTGCCTACCCTTGAGCTACCACCTTCTACAATATACAGTCTGTCTTTGGAAAGTGTCTGACCTCATCCTCCATCCCATCCCAAATGTTTATTCAAACCAAATATATTTCCTAGTAGTTAACCCTCCAAGAAGATTTGCCTATAATCTTCTCATTTTCAGTTGATTTAAAACGTGAGAAACTGCCCATGTGTTAGAAAATGCAAAAAACAATGCCATATGTTAGAGGTCCATTTAACTCAAGCTGTGATATATATTCCACACATGGAGATTTATGCCACAATTCCTGCTTTGGGGTAATCATTAAGACTGGGAACCTTTGCAGGCTACTCACCCAGGAGAAACATTGACAGCCTGATGCTCCCACATGGAATAAAGCTGACAGGAGAAAGTGGGAATGGGATTTGTTGCTTTTGGAAACGAAGACAATATTTTTCTTGCTAGACCATCTGCACGTGGCGGTGAATGTTCCATGTGGGTTTTGCTCAGTTTATTAGACACTGGCTGCTAGAAGCAAGATCAGACATGTTAGACTGACAGAGCCAATGAGGCTCATGACAGCAATGTCATGAATGAGTGTGTTCTGCACTTCCACAGTCAACTCATACCTTCATACAGTAGTCATGGGAAAGATTCTTTAAGAATTTCTGACATACTGTATATGTGCATCTCTACTGGCTTCATTTAGGTTCCCCCAGAAGCACAACCTGAAACAAGGATTCAGGGCAGATAGTTTAAGAGGTGAAGGGAATCCCAATAGTCATGTGGGGAAGTTAGCAAATAAAGGGTACATTATCAAGCTAGGTACCACTGTGGGCACTTGGTACCTAATCCCAGTGGGGAACTCTGGAAGTCAGTGTAGAACACACAGCAGAGAGTGGGTCCAACTGAGGGAGGAGGGAGCTGGGATACCTATACACCAACACTTATCAGGTGTTAGTTAAGAACTGCTCCTGGATGATGTTTATTCTCTAGCAATTCTAGCCTATCACATGGATGGCAAAGCAGCCTCCAGAGATCATTTGAAGACCTCTGGGGAAAAAAATGCAGGTGCTGGCAGTTAGTAGGCAGGTGGTGTGTAATCAAGGGTCAAGAACAAGACAATATGGGCAGGTCACAGTTCGCATCTGCAACACCTATGTAGGCAAATCTCATAAAACATATACAAATCAAGGCAATGCCTCTCTGTGTGTGTTGCAAGGACCACCTGCCTCAAAATCACTGGGGTGCTGATTGTAAGCACAGATTTCTGGCCCCTATCTCAGGGCTGTTTGAATCAGACTTGCTGGGATGGGGCCTGGGAAACTGCATGTTCTGCAAACATTCCAAGAACTGATGTTCACTCAAATTTAAAATGTACTACATTCAGAAAATCATGCTCCTCACAGGCAGCCAGCAGGCAGCACATTTAAATATGTGAATACTTGCTTGCAATGCCTAAGGAGGCAGACCTTAGAAATCAGGAGCCCAGGGAGGGGTGCCCACCTGCTCATATCTGTTCATGGCCACAGAATTTCTCTTTTCTCTTTTACTCCACTCTTCCTTTAGATGGGGATTAACACTGAGAAGATTCTATCAAGTATTTTCTGGGGGGAAAAACAGGCTGAGTTCCAGCCCTAACTTTGCCACTAATAAGTCATATAATTTGAACAATTCACATTTCTATACTGCAATTCCTGATCTATAACATGTGGGTGGCAAAAGGATATCTGTCCAGCCAAGGTTCATGTTCCCCTTTCAATAGTGTAGGGTTTTTACCAGAAAGAGGCTGTCCCCTCTGCCACACACACTCAGGAACTACGTAATCATTCCCTCCCTTGCATCCAGGTGGAGTTGAATATCTAGTTATTACTTACAGTATGAACAGAAGTGATGCATGTCCCTTTTGGGGTAAGGAAGTCAAGAAGCAGATACCTTCTCACCCTTTCTTTCTTCTTCTGCCAATAGAGACAGAGGTTAGCAGCTCGAGATGCAAGGGCGTGGGTCCATGAATTTCCAAGCTTAGGAATGCTGCCTTCCTACTAGAAACATCCAAATTGAATTTTGGGGTGAAAAAGAAACTTTCACTATGTTGAATCACTGAAATTTGGGAATTCAATTGTTATATCACCTAGTGTTATTAATTACATGGACATGGTAACATCTATCCCCGCTAACCTAGGAGACACCCGGAGAAGATAGTCCTCCTTCTCAAAGAACCAATTGAGGTCAAGCTAATCATGGTCACATGCTCTTCCTTGGCAACATTTATGACTCAGAGAAACAGGGCCACATTTGTCTCCTTCCTAAGCCCAGTCCTCCCTATCACTGGCATGGCCTAAGATAAGGCAGCTCCTCTGCCT